GCGCTGGGTGCCACGGGGCGCCCCCGCCCCCCCTCCGGCCACGCTGGGGCCCCTGGCGCTGCCCCTGATCCCCTCCGGCCACGCTGGGCCTCCTGGCACTGCCCCTGATCCCCATCGGCCGCGCTGGGCCCCCTGGCGCTGCCCCTGCCCCTCCGGCCGGGCTGGGCCCCCTGGCGCTGCCCCTGCCCCTCCGGCCGGGCTGGGCCCCCTGGCACTGACCCTGTCCCCCTCCGGCCGCGACTGGGCCCCCTGGCACTGACCCTGTCACCCTCCGGCTGACGCTGGGCCCCCTGGCAACTGCCCCTGCCCCTCTGGCCGCGCTGGGCCCCCTGGCGCTGACCCTGCCCTTCCGGCCACGCTGGGCCCCCTGGCGCTGACCCTGTCCCCCTCCGGCCGCGCTGGGCCCCCTGGCGCTGACCCTGATCCCCTCTGGCCGCGCTGGGCCCCCTGGCGCTGACCCTGCCCCTCCGGCAGTGCTGGGGAACCTGGCGGTGACCTACGTGATCGCCATCCGCAGCGGGGCGGTGCCCTGCATGGAGAGCGCGGTGCTGGCCCTGGCGCAGATCGAGAACTCGGCGGCGGTGGGGGAGGCCGTGGCTGTCTACGAGGAGCAGCTGGAGTGGCGGGCGGCGCTGCCCACGGAGAGCGTGCAGGAGCTGCTGGAGGTGCACGCCCAGTGCGAGCGGGAGGCGCTGCGGGCGTTCATGGCGCGCGCCTTCAAGGACGACGAGCAGCAATACCAGCAGCAGCTTAAGGTACCAGGGACCATGCAATGGGGGCACAGCCCCTCCTGCCCCAGCCTGCAGCGACCCAGGGGGAACAGGGCACGGGGCATTTCCGCTCCAGAGGGCGCTGGCCCCGCTCTGGCCCCAGGGTGGGGACTGGCTGGCTCCATGTGCCAGGGAATGGGACCCAAGGTCTTTTCCCTCTAGTGGCCACTGGCCCCGCTCTGGCCCCAGGGCAGGGAACTGGCTGGTTCTGTGGAGTGGGGAATGGGGCATGGGGCCTCCAGGGCGTGCTGGCCCCAGGGCAGGGAACTGTCTGGCTCTCTGGGGCAGGGAATGGGGCACGAGGCCTTTCCCCTCCAGCTCCGATGTCCCCTCTCTCCGCAGGACAAGCTGGACTCCAAGCGCGCTGAGCTCTGCCACCGGAATGAGGAGGCGTCGTCGGACCGGTGCAAGGCCGTGCTCATGGAGCTGTCGCAGGAGCTGGAGGAGCGGGTCCGCGAGGGGAGCTACTCGGTGCCCGGGGGCTACCAGCGCTTCCTGGCCGACCAGCGGGAGATGGTGGAGAAATACCAGCGGGTGCCATGGAAAGGGATCATGGTGAATTGACTGAATAGCATCAACTGGGGCTGGGAGCCAGGACTCCTGGGTTCTCTCCTCAGGTCTGGGAGGGCAGTGATTTCTGGTGGTGAGAGCAGGGGGCTGGAAACCAGGACTCCTGGGTTCTGTCTCTGGCCGTGGCTCTGAGCTGCACACACAGCCTGCGGGCGCCCTGGGGAGGGAGGTACCGATGGTGTCGCTGAGGGTTTGTGGTCCTTGGCTGATGGGATGAGAGGGCAGCGTGGAGGCTCTGGCTTGTCTGGGGCCCCCTAGGTGTCTGTGGGGAGGCAAGTGCAGGTGGGAGGGGCTGTGGGCCCCTTGATGTGTGTGTGTGTGGTGGGGGCAGGTGCAGGGGGGAGGGGCTGTGCCCCTCGATGTATGGGGGGGCAGGTGGGACGGGCTGTGGGCCCCTCAATCTGTGGGGGGGAGCAGCTGCACGTGGTCAGGTGGGAGGGGCTGAGGGCCCCGGCTCACCCCCTTTCTCCCCGGTGCCCCCAGGCGGCCGAGGTGCTGCAGCAGTTTCTGAAGTCCAAGGAGACGGTGGCCCAGGCCGTCCTGCAGACGGACCAGAGCCTCACGGACAGACAGAGGGAGATCGAAGGTGACTCCAGAGCTGGGGCCCGTAGTCCTGTGACCCCCACGGCCCTATGGATCTGGTGATCTTTTGGCCCCAGACTCACCGCCCTGAACACCATGGCCCCATAGACCCCGTGACTCCTGGCCCTCATGGCCCCATAGTCCCCGTGACCCCTGGCCCTCCCGGCCCTATAGATCCTGTGACTCCTGGACTCCACAATGCCAGGGCTCTGTAGCCCCATAGATCCGGTGCCTCAGGGTACAGTCTCTGTGGCCTCCCAGGTCTGGTGACCCCAGCACTCCATAGATCTAGTGGTCCCATGGACGTGGAGACCCCAGGGCCAGGGCTCTGGCTCCATAGATCTGGTGACTCCTGGTTGCCGATGACCCAGTGACCCCGGGCCAGGGCTCTACACCCCGAGCCCCTGGCCCTGACCATGTGCCCCCCCCCCAGCGGAGCGGGCGCGGGCCGAGGCGGCCGAGCGGGAGGCCCAGCGGAGCCAGGCGATGCAGGCCAAGACGGAGCAGCTGCTGCAGGACCAGACGCGCAGCCACCAGGAGCACGTCCAGCAGCTGACGGCCAAGATGGAGCAGGATAGGAAGCAGCTGCTGGCCGAGCAGGAC